TGGAATCATCATGATGCAGCTTTTCAACGTTCACCTAAAACTACAAACTGCTGCGAGGGATTTCACAATGTTCTTAATTCCCTATTCCACTTCAGTCATCACAGCATTTGGTTTCTTTTTGATGGACTGCAGACAGGTACCGACACAGTTACTGTGTAGTTATATAGACAGACAGGTACTGACACAGGTACTGTGTAGTTTGACAGACAGGTACCGACACATACTCTGTGTAGTATGACAGACAGACAGGTACCGACACATGTAGTATGACAGACAGACAGGTACCGACACAGTTACTATGTAGTTTGATAGACAGACAGCTACCGATACATGTACTGTGTAGTTTGACAGACAGGCATCTACCGACACATGTACTGTTTAGTTTTATAGACAGAAAGGTACCGACACAGGTACTGTGTAGTTTGACAGACAGACAGGTACGGGCACATGTACTGTGTAGTTTGACAGACAGACAGGTATGACACATGTACTGTGTAGTTTGACAGACAGACAGGTACCGACACAGGTACTATGTAGTTTGACAGACAGACAGGTACCGACACAGGTACTGTGTAGTATGACAGACAGACATATACTGACACAGGTTACTGTGTAGTTTGACAGACAGACAGGTACAAATAAGAATTTTTCACCTCATCAGTAGTCATCCGCCCTCAGCTCCAAATTCCTGTTTCAATTTATTTATAGACAATTGTGACACAGTGCAATTTAATGAAGTCACTGTAAAGGTCTTTAAATAGTCGAACAAAATAATTACGCCACCAGCACAGAAACATACACTGGCAAAGAGTTAACTTAAAGTTGATGTAAAAAGTTAAAGCTGACACTGAGCTAATTATTACTGTTGCCATATCTTGTTCATTTGTGAACAAAACAAAAATAAGGGCAACACTATGAGGATGGTTACAAAACACACTGTTGTGATTTTTACATTTTATACTCATTTACTAACTAGCCTTTGCAAATACTTAGAAATCTTCCATTTCACCTATTTTTAAGCTGATATTGGTTTTGTTAGAGACATAATTATGCAGTCAGTCTTTCAGGATGTTTTTTACACAATTTGTAAATGAATGTTCATACACATTTTGTCGACCCCCACAAGCTTCTTTGCTGAGTGGCTGATCGGTCTAAACTGACTCAATCCAACACATGGGTGGCACCATACATTGTAAGTCATTGTAAGGAAAATAAGGGAAGCATCAAATTATTCATTGTAATTATACTGCGTCTGGTATTGATTTGCTGTATCTTTACTTTGACACTTGGTATGTGGCACATCAGACAGGTTTTTAAAATGTTATTTTGCTTTATTTGGTAGCAAAAAAAATATATTTTAAAAAAATATATATAAAAAATTACAATGCTAGGAATAAAAAAATTTGGCCGACATGTTTACTTTTCTTCTGGGTATTCCCATTGTTCCACGTCAAGTTTTTAAAAATTATTATTAGATACCAGGCATTTTTAACAACTATTCCACACAAATAATAAGCCAAGTCTAGTAACAGCATTAACACTTAACAAACAATAAGTGTTCTATCTTCAACCAGGAAGACTTACAACTTTATTCAATTGTCAAATTCTATTCAGCAACATGTTAGGCAGGGGTCAATGTTTTCTCTTGATACAACACTAGTTCATCATTGGTGCATGGACCATTATTTTAACATTTTAGGCAAGTGTCATTTGTTAATGTTTTCTCTTTATGTTACATTAGTTCATCGTTAGTGGATCATTAAAAAAAAAAAAAGAATGATTCTTTCAGTAATCCAGATCTTATGCATTCAGACAATTAACTGTACTGTACATCTTTAATAGTGTAGCTTTAAGGGTAGTAACTATTTGAAAACTGTATTACTTAATTGTTTTGAATGAAAGGCTTAGATAACTTCATGTGCCATTATTTATTAAACAACCAAATTAAAAAGAAAACTTTATGCAGAATTTGAGGTAATTCTCCCTGCAGGTCCAACCATGAACAGAAATGTCAATTTTTAAATGTAAAATAAACAATATAACAACCCAAAATAACATAATAACTAAGAAGTCATACTAACTGTATACATATATACAAGACATTCACTAGACAGATTTACATGGAAGACCCCATTTAATTTGGATTTATTTTTATTTTTTAAAAGAGGACAAAACTATATACCAGGACAAATTTGCGGTAATATTGGAAATAAGTGGCATATCTTTCATCAAGTACAAGTAATATAACCAATATTGCAGGTATTCAATATGTTGTACCCATGTTTGCAATGCAAAGAGTGTTAATATCAAGATTAGATTTGTCAATAAAAATGTAATACATGTTATATTGCCGATATTGCAATCCTTGTAATAACATGGTTAACTATTACTGCAGTGAATGGCTTGCCGCTATCACTTGAATAATTGATTCATTCACTCTCCAAACTTATCTGTTCTCTCTCGGCATGTGCCGAAACATATACTTTTGTATTCTGTAAAATTATTATTAAAGCTTACCTTATATTGTTATATTGACACAAATTGTTGGTGTCTAATTAATCTCTCTCACTAATGAAGTGTTAATGTCCAATAATTTATGCAGTAATTTATTAAATAAAATAGAT